GGAGGAGGAGGGGGTGCAGCCATATCGGGGTGCACCGGCGAAGCGGGGAGGCCTTGCGCTAGGGAGCGCCGGCTAATAAAGACAGGCAGAGTTCAGTCGTGTGGGTGACGCAGCGTTCGGGCTGTATTTGTGCCTGAAACTTCATTCCCTCAAAGATTTAAATCAGGTTTTTTGCATACGTTTAGCGCATGAAGGTACGCCGCGCTTTTTCTGCAGAGCGATCAAGTAGTGTTTGCTCTTGGGTGGGGATGGGTTTGGAAGGTGCAGAGCAACCCGCCAGCTCCGCTGAATCCTGCCGCGGCCGCGTTGGCGTTACCCCCTCGTAGATCCGTTACCACCATGTGCACCGGCCACTTGACGGACACCTCTCTGTTTGCTGCAGGGACTGAGCGAATATAAGAGAAACTTCAGATGGAAAACCCCAGGGTTTTGTAGCCCGTCCCAACAGCAGAAATCCTTGTGGGCAGGACTTCGGTCGGATCAGTTTGGTAAGCGCCCCTGAAAGCTGCCCCTGGGACTGCAGGCCCTGGCACTCTCCCAGCTGGCTCTGGTGGGGATGAGCCTGGGCCACTGTAGGCCTGGAGGGGTTTGCTGTGATTGAGTGAGTGGCCACAGTGAACTGGTAGTGTTTGCTGTTAAAAGTATATTCCTGGTCATCATTTAGAATATGGTTTTGAATGCCATGTTCTTTCTGGCTACACTGAAACTTTCTTTTAATGTTAGTGCTATTTATATAAAACCTGAAAAATATGTGGTTTCTGACGTGCAGCATACACTGAGTCCCAAACATGAAGCACAGATGCAGTGTTAACCCATGCAGGGTGTGTAGAAGGAGGCACTGGGTTACCTGTGGTGCATGGAAACAGTAAGTAAAATTCCATATTTAAGAGGAGGCTAACTTGGGGCAAAGTTTGATACAAAGTAAAATTGTTACAGAGACTAACACAGACAACTAACAGGAAAAAAAGATGAGCAGTAAATGGAAGAGCTTATGATACTGTAGCGTAGGAGCTAGGGATTGTAAACATTATCATGACAGGAAAATGTGGGGTTGGGAAGTAGAAGACAGTGGAAATAGCATCTGGATTGAAAGGCCCGTAGGGAGTTGAGGGATAGGAGTAAGCTGGAGAGTGATGACAGCTGCAGTGCTTTGAAAAGAAGCAGTAAAAAACAGGAATTACTGTAGTGGCAGAAGACAGATTAACAAAATTGTGCAATTCAATGCAACCGCACTACGCAGTCTCTATAATTAGAGTCCAATATATTCCTTCCTACAATATGATAAGTGTTCTGAATTACAGCCTAGTAATTAAGAACTGACCACTGGGAGTAGGGTTTGGTTTTGGTTGAGATGCTAGGCATTTTAATAAATAATTTAATCTTGCTAAAGATTATGCTTTGTGTATATTACTGCTTTCTTCCATTACTGCAAAATAAAGATTTCTTTAACCTTGCCTTCCCTAGCACATGTCTCTGTCTATGGGTACCTGTACTGAAGAGTATAACTTCTGCGAATTCTGAAGCACCTGAACATCCAAACACATTAACTTCTTTTAAAAAATGTAATCTATGCTTCTTTTCCAGTCAAACTAAACAGCAAATTTTGCAAGACTTGCAATAAAGTTATGAGTTAGCAGTGCAGCAGTTTCTCCTCCTCCTGATGTTGTAGTGGTGTTTTCTGTACGTGCTTGGTGTAGTTTTCCTACGTCTTTACGTTCATTTTCACTCCCGCCTCTTTTCTGGCCATTTAACCATCTACATCTTCAGATGTCACTCTTAACACCTCATAGGACTTGCAGATTGGTATTGATAATTCACTATTCCTACCTTGTTACAACAATGGACTTCCAGCTTTTGCTGTCAGCTCCGTCAAATTTGCTCTCAGCCAAATTGAGCCTCTTAATGGTTTCCTCCAGCTGTACAGTTAACTTCTCATTTAATATCTCCAAGTTATTCTTCGCTATTCGTAGCTTCTCTCCACTGTCAGCTTCCTATTGTTCAATAAAAACAAATGTTACTTCAGGTTCTTTCTGTTGAAACACATAGCTGGCAGTTTTAAGAATGACTTGGAACATCACCACAAAAAGTTAACAGCTGCAGGTGCTCAGAGTTCCTTCCTGCTACTTTTCCAGTGTTCATCCACTGGAATTATTTCCTGCCACCTGTATGTGTTGTTGGACAAACAGACATTCTGTGTACCTTTCACCGTAGGTTACATTGCTTTTTCATGAAACAGGAGTTTCTCTCTCTCCCAAGAACGTGTTTCTTTTGTCCAGTTAGGGGCCTTCACGTATTTTTCTGTCGCAGTTGAGTGCTTGGCAGTTGGATTATCATTTCCTGCTTTAAATGTGTTCAGTCGTGCAATCCTCTTGTTAAGATGGTGGGGTAATTTTGTTCTAATCTGCATGTGTAAAGGCCAGCAGCTCTTTAAAATAACTCGATACCTGGTTCTGTTACTTAGTCTTTTTACAATTTTGGAGATGTTTTTGTGTTTGTACTGTAAAAAGTCACTGGCTATCTGAGATGGTCTTAAATCACAGTTGTATTACATGGATAGGGATCCGACGCTGTCCTGTAACAGTCGGTGAGAACCTGTTCAGCGAGCATTGTGCATGTGTAATGAGAAGTGTTTGTGGCATGCTTTATCAGTGCAGGTCCGTTGTTCTCTGTCTATGATAACCCTGTTCTTTTCGCTGGCTGTGTTAATTTTGTTCTTGTTGTTCAGCTCCCAGAATCAACTTGCAAAAGATTGTCCTGTGGCCATATTTGCTTTATAGAGTTTTATCCAAGATGGTCCTGGAGCACCACGTTCCCGTCTCTCTTTAGTGGAGGGGAAAGGCATTCGTAGATAGGAAAGAAGGCAGAATTTCACAGCCATGCCCGTTGTTTACAGGCTGTCATTGCTCAAAGATACTAAAATAGTTTTTTCTAATCATCACTTGTATGATAAACTTTAGTTTATTCTTGTAATAGGATGATACTATGTCTTCAATAGAATGTTTTTGTTAAACCTAATATGTCTTTCTCAGGAATCACCAGAGAACCAAACTTCATTTCCAAGAGAAGGGTACCTCACCATCATCCACAGATTTCCAAGTCCTTTGAATGGACAGGAGATTGTGATTTGAATGACCCAGTTGAAACTGAAGCTCTTAGGACTGCGGAGTTGCAGACAGACCACAATAACAATGATGTGAATCAGGAAAAAATTGAAACACCAGAAGGACCCAGACTCCCTCCAAAAGTTCAGTCAGATTCAGTAGATTCTAGAGGTGAAACAGCTCTTGCCCTTGCAGAAAACAGCATGAAGAGATCACCCTCTGCAGCTCCAAATCAAACTGAAGCATTTTCATCTCCAAAAAAGGAACTAGAAAAAATGGGTAATGGGGTAAGGGAAGATTAAAAAATTTTTTTTTAATTGACCAGTATAAAAATTACTAATCTGTTAGTTACAGTAATTTAATGCACACACACTAGCCTCTGTTGTTTGACTCTCTCCTTAGTTCTGTATTTTGATATTCTACATTGTAGCTTCTCTGTTGGGAGAACAGTACTTTTGAGACCAGATTTTGGTTCTACTCAAGTCAATAGGAATTTGCCCTTAGTGTGCCATCACTATTGATTTTGATTAAACAAGGATTTAGCCAATAATATATAGACTTTTGGGCGTTGTTTGCTATAATGAGAAAATGTACTTTGCATTCATTTAATTCAAACAACCAAAACCCAAACCATTGGTTTGAAAGCGTGCATTGAAAGGTATCTGACTTGCAAAAAACACTGGAGGAAAGAGAACACTCGGTGTTGGTTTTCTTCTCTTTTTTATGTTGTCAGCTTCACAGAGTCCTTCAGAGGAAAGCAGGCATGAATATTTCACGTTTAAATACTTTCCCCAGAAATTCTGAATATCAAAGCCAATTTGTTTGGAAGAGTCCCCATGAAAAGTCACCAATACTTGCAGCTGAACAGGTAACTTTAAAGAATCCAAAAGTAAATGAATACTTTATTTTATGTATCAGCGAAGTTGCTTACCTTCCAAGATTTCCTTTCTTCCTGTTTTGCCTGGGGAACGACAAACTTTAATGTTGTTACTTTATTTTTATTTTTTTTCCTCTCAATATACAGAAGTGCAGTATAATTAGATTTGTTTTCTTGTGATCCTTTATTGTAGTCAGGTCTAATTACTCATTCTCCTTATCCCTGGTTGTATTCCATCCTTTCTAACAGGAGCATTTTCTTCTGTTTGCATTAATTTACCTTAAGAGCTCCAAGATCCTACTCCATGTAACCCTTTGTTTTTATCATTCTTATATTGTCTAGTATATAGCTAATCAACAGTTATCCAAGTTAGGGTATAAGTCAGACCTAAACTTTCATAGCAAAGGTGGGGAAAATGCGTGCTTGTGACATGTTCTTGGTCGTTTTAATTCAGCAACTCATGAGGAGATGATACCTTACCATGTATTGGGCAGGTTCTCTACCTTGGTTTATAAGACAGTATTGATTGGAAAATAGTGGATAGCTCCTAGGACCCAAGCCCTAAGCATCCAATTCTGAAACACAGAACAGTTGTCTGTGACTTACGGACTGGATGTGTACTGAGGACTCAGGGAAGTTTTATGGCATAAGTTTTTAAAAATGTGATCCTACATACCACTCTGAACAAATAAACAAGACCTCTGTTAGTGAGCTTCAGTAAGAACAGCGTTGGACCACAGGTTTAACTGTGTCAGTCGCTTTTAAATGTGCGTTTATCAGATTAAGTTTCTCTTCAGTTTGTCCTAGAAGTTGATTAGTCTGCGCATGCTGTATTTGTACATGTGACTGTCTTTCTGCTCCTATGTGAGTGTATTTGCGTGAATTGGTTAACTGATTTTGAAAATTTAGCCTTAAGGTAAGCAAATCACACTCTTGTTTTGTTTTGTTTTCTCTCCCCCCCTGCAGGTTCTTTGCAACACAAGTAAATCCATACCTCCCTTTGATTCTCCTGCAATTATTTCTGAAACTGCATATGAGAGAAATCTCAAAGGGTCTCCTCCTGTTAAGGGTCCACAAGAGAGAGGTGGTTCAGACGAGAAAGAATTTCTGGTTCGTGAACAAGTAAATATTTCTCTAAAAGAGAGGCCTTTGTATAATTCTGTAATTTTGATCTTTTCTATAACGCAGGGCTGGGTTTATTTTGAAATTTTTAAAGCTGTTGCTAATGACACTGGACTCAGTAGTGGTTTTGCTATGAAAGTAACCTGTACACAGCTCTGTTTGCTGTTAGGGGTTTCTGTAGGGGATTCTGTAGTTTCTGTAGTGCATTTGTTCCGTTTACGGTGACATTTTAAGTGTATTTTTCCCGTCACCTTAATTTGAGTTTTCAAGTGGGTTCGTTCTTTTTTTTTTTTTTTTTTTTTAAATTGAAACTTTGGTTTTAGTCATTAGAATAGTTTCTGAAATCTAAATCTCTGGTTTATATTCTCATTGGTAACAGTGTAGTCTCTTGGTATGTAGGAGGGCTGGATGGGAGGTCTGGAACTTTTTGGATCTCATAAATCAGTCATAGTCTGAATTAAAAAAAATACTTTGAAGTTTGGAAGATACCACGATGGGAACTGATTTTCAGACGATAGTTGTAATTTGAAGAAACATGGAGGAAGGGTTACAATTCATGTTCCTTTGTCTTGATAAGTTGAAAGGTAAGTAATTGTATTTAGCGCAGGGCTATAACAGGACATTGTGTAGCCTACATAGGCTCTGTTACTTAGTTCAAAACATTAAAATGTCTTTTATGGAAGTAATTCGGCTGCCTGAGGCCTTGCATTTCCTTGCCTTGCTGTTGGCTTGGACGAACTTCAGTGGCCTTTAGGAAACATGGGTGTGGCCATTTTTACAGATATGTTTAATGAAATGGAATTGTTTCAGACTGAGACCTAAAAATAGGTGAAAGCAGTTTAGACTGCATGACAGCTTACCTGTTTTGCAAGGTGGGTGTACAAATGTCTGGTTTTGTAGCAAACTGCCAAGTGTAGCATTGTCTAAATTCCTGCAGATTAGCTAAGCATCCTTCAGGTAGAAGGACCACATATGAACCTCTTCAGTAGCCATCTCTTCCTTGATGAAACAGGAAGAGCCATTGTCAGACAATACGTTCACTAGGACCATTCCTGGGGAAAATGCATACCTACCATGAAGTGCCTGTGGCTCCGCTGAAGCTGTTGGTACTTTTGAGGTTCTTAAAGATGGTTGTTGGCTTGGAGGCCTTGTCATTTAAAACTCAGACCTGCCCAGTGCTTTAAATCTCATCTGGGAATGAGGAATTTTATGTCCCCTTTTGCCTGTTTTAGCAGATGTGAAGACAGCTTGAAAGGCATAAGGCTTTCAGGAAGTATTTCTTTGGTTTTAATATTGGAAAGTCAGGTTATATTTTCCCAAGAGAGCTAATTAGTGAGCATGGTGGTATTAGGTCAATGGTTGGTCTTGATGATCTCAGAGGTCTATTCCAACCTAATGATTCAATTTGATTCTGTTAGATTCTATTAAAGTGAAGGAGGAGGAGGCATGAGAAGAGAATTTTGGTGAAAGTGTCTAAACCACTTTTTGTTTATTCCGAGAGGATAAAATAAGCAGGAAAAAACCTGTCTTTTATGTGAAAACTGAACAAGTCCATCGGACCCTTAATAAACCAGAATTGCAGCAAATTAAAAATTTACCTTTTAGTTTATTATAAATTGGTTTATCTTGCTTGACTATATAGGTAAGAGGGTTTTTTTAAATTATTATTTATTTATTACAAATTCCAGAAATATACCTGTTAAGTCTTACACAGCTCAGGTTATAATGCACAGGTATTATATTATTTTTTGTCTGTGTTTCATGTCAAATTCATTTTGTAAAGTGTACAAAATGGATCATCTGACTAACTGGATGTTGCACTCAGCTTTGGCAGTTTGCTAGTTTATTTTTGTATTAACAAAGGAATGTTGTTTGTATTAAATTCTTGTTTGTATTAAATATGCAAACCAGCTAACACTGAAATAAAATTAACTTTTTGTGAAAGCTTGATGTCAAAAGGAATATGAGGGTTTTCAGATTGTTAGCTAATGTGGTATTTTTAAAATTATCTTTGCCTTAGAGTAAGAGGGAAGAACCATTTCAAAAACCAGCAGAAGATGCAGCAAAACAAGGGCAATCAGAACAGAAACATCCTAAAAAAAGAAATAAGCAACATATCAGTGCAAAGCCCCTCTCTTTACATACACGTCGTGGGTATGTATAAAATAGGAGAACCTAGCCTAGTGAGTAGGTGTGCAGTAGCCTAATATTTAGAGTGATGGATGATGGGGCTTTAACCACGCCATGCTACAGTTGGGCAAATGTCCCCTTGCAGCACTGGGATTGAGCTTCCTGTGGGTACATCTAAGCCTGGTGTTAATTTCCATCCCCTTCTCTGGGCACCAGAAATGGAAGCTTTGTAAGCACACTCGATCAGTTGAACCTTCTGATGCAATAATAATATTATTAATAAATTTAAGATGAATGAAATTGAATTGGGGCAGTGCTGCTAATAAACTTTCAGTGAGTGCTTTGGAAGTTGTAGTCACCTTTCAAACTGGTTTCTTGTGCTTGCTCCACACCTTAAAACTGTGATGATTGTACTGGATGTCTTTTTCTAGTCTGTACCGCCTTCTGTCCCAGAGTAACAAAAGCAAACACATGAGGTAAATCTGTCCCATTTAGGGTAATCTGACCAGCATGGAAATAAAATGAAATCCTACGTTATTGAGCACTATCAAAGTATCTTTTTCTTCTGCCACATACATACGTTGCAGGAACTGAATTCATGTTTCCATTTTCTACACATCTGAGATATGCCAAGAAAAGCCCAGAATGAATGTATAAATTAGTCTAACTCTGCTATCTTTATGCTTAGTGTATGTCCCAGTGATTGTTTTCGTTCACATGACTTTCTGGCAGTGTTAAGGCATTAGATTAAAGATGGGAGAGGAGACTTAGCTAGGTGTGAATGTTGGTGGATATTGGGAGATAATTCTAAAATGATCACCCAAAATTCTATGAAATAAAATCACTTTATGAAGAAATGAGTGGCTATAGTGTAGTTAAAGCCTTTAACTCTCTGGTTTTCATAGGTTTTTGACGTAGTAGATTGTAGCCAATTTTGCAGTGAGTAGTGTGTAAAATTCTTGATTGTTTGCTATGATTTTTTTAATTTAAGAACAAATTTCTGCCTCTCATGCCTTCAGTGTGGTAGCATAAGACAAAAGTTTCCAAAACAGTCACTGGGCAAATAGCTGTCAAAATGTGCAAGTTCTCAATATGGAGACAGGACTGTCATTTTGTATGCAAGCTGCATTGCATGGCCTGCTTTTGCAGCAGAATCACTGGGATCAAGGCACAGCAGTGATGCAGTTTTTGAACCAATCCGTTAGTTTTGCAACCAAAACTGAAGGAATTCTGTCAGTTTCAAAGAAAGGGACATATGGAAAGAAATTTGAAATCTAAAGGGTTTTTTTGCCTTGGTATTTTTCTTTTTACAAGGTGCATTTTATTCTCTGGTTTCAGGCTTTTATGATGAGTTTCTGAGGAAGGACTGAAAAAGAGGGCTTTTTCACCCAATGCTGAATATATTGAAATAAAGTTAGTAATGTTCTGAAGCAAGATTAAAAAAAAAAACCTCTTTAGATTTAAGCTGATAAATCCACAGTTCAGTGCTTAAGGACTTGAAGTATTGCTTATTGCCTGCTATAGGTTAGGTGGTGTTAATTTTTCTGTGTATGTCTGTGTGTGGCAGAAGGAAAAATCAATCCATCTTTTCAAGTACTGAGGCCTTTTGAAGATCAAAGCCAGTAGAACATAGTTAGATGAATTATACTGACCATTGTTCTGTAGTCAGATGTTTCTAGCTCCCGCAATTCACCCCACCCATATGCAGAGTGCCTTTAGAGTGGAGTTCATAGAAAGAAATGTCTTGGACACATTAGTGCCAAACCAGGCATTTTTGCTTAAATGCACTTTTCATCAGTGGCTTAAACCAAGATGCTGCACTTTGCATTGAAGTAATTGAGATGTATGTGCGCATTATGTTGTGCTGATTTGGCTGTCAGGGCAGAAGGGTTGTGAGGAAAAACCAACAGGAGTAACTACTTGAAGAGCCACCAACTGTGAATGAGCTTTCTCACAGCTTTCCTAGTTGCATTGGTATGGATGAGCTGTGTTCCAAAGCATGTCTTTTTCACATCTCAGCCCTGGCATTTAAGTGCAAGTATACTTATGGTTGCTGATACAACAACTTTAAAAGTGCTCTTAAAGAGTATTCTGGATATCAAGCTTTACCCTTTCTGTCTTTTTTCCCTCTCCTCATTCCTGATTTCTTAGGAAGATGAACACTGAATATAGGTCAAAATTTTTGTCTCCAGCCCAGTATTTCTACAAAGATGGAGTTTGGTCTCGTATCAGGAGTAAAGTTCCCAACCAGGTGAGTATTCTTAAAAACCTGAAGCCTGAGTATGCTTTGTATTTTGATTTTAATGTGCAAAAAACTTTGACTTGTGGTGTTTATAAGATACAGTTTTGAGATTGTAATGCTAATGACTCAAGCTCCCAGAAGTGAGTATACAAAGAAGATAAGGTTCTGACAAGCCAATATAATATGTAGTAAGAAAAAAAAAGAAAGAGACAGTGTAACTTCGACATTCTTTTAATGTGATATACAAAGTGAGGGAGGAGCTTTGTTTCCTATACCAATCAGAATCATCCAGAACAGAGTTTCTTGGAGCAGATAATTGTGGCATTGATGTTCAGCCCAGTTGTAACAAGCATAAATTTTTAAAATGTAGAATTAGATGATAAGAGATTCCAAGGGAATAAAAGGAAGAGGCCAACCTCTGTATCAGCATAGGTTAGCTTGATAGCCGAGACCAGTCTATTAGCTTGTCGTACTGAATCTGTTCAGAGCAGCCGGCTGAATTCAGTCATACTCGGCACAAAATTCAGAGTTTCTCTTGCAAGTTTCAGCCAATCTAAGTATTTTAATGTAGTTTATTCAATAACTGATCAATATTATACTGTATAGGAACTTGTTTGACAGAACTCTGAAAATGCTGAATGGCTTCAGGACCATGGGGTTTCTGAGGAGGATTGTTGAGTATGGTTTCATGAATTAGTCCACTAAATCAGAACCATTAGCAGTACGCTAAGAAACTGCTAGAGCTAGTTCTGCAACTGTCAGATTTCACTGAAGTGACTTAGGCTTCTCCCAGCTGATAGAGGAATCCTTCATGAGACACTGTGTGTTGCTAAATGTGTGGCAAATACTTGGAAATGTGAATTTCCTCATTAGTTGGAACCAAGCTGATGTGGAAGATAGAACTGGAGTGGATGGTGCTAGGGTACTGGGCTTTGAGATTTTGGAAATAACGCTCTCTGGGACTTGCAGGAGTAGTGTGGTAGCATTCAGTTTTATGTTTTCTCACTGGACTTGAGCTAGCAAGTAATTTTATTTCTCTTTTTAGGCAAAAAGAAATCTATATTGAATAGAAATGAAATACTGAATGAGAACTAGGTCTCAAAGTTCAAAGTATATCATTGTTTGAGATAATTCATAATCAGATTTTGGGTATGCATGCATGAGATAATCCATTCTGTGAAAACAGCCTCATGAGGATGTTAGAAGACTAAAACAAGCAATATTTTTGGTTTTTTTTATTTGTATTAATACGTGTATTAGACTTAGTCTTACTGTCATTAAGGCTGTAGAATAATCTAAACTATTGCACACAGCCTGATTGCAAGCAGTATACAGAATGTTTCCACAGAATATTTTGCCATTTTTCCGGCGTGTAAGTCGTCTGTCTGGAGACTGGATGTTGCATCAGTAGCATTCAGAACAGTCAGGAGCAGCACTCAGCTTCAAGAGCAACTGACTGGTAGGGCAAGTAAAGGGAAAGGGATGCATTGCCTTGGGGTGGACTGCATTTGTGGCACAGCCAGCTGGGAGGAGTCACTACAGTACAGTCAAGGGAAAGGAGACTGCAAAGGGAGGGTGAGTGTTCTGCTTTACCGGGCAGGGTCCATTCTGGGTCATGTTTGAGAGATGTAGGAAGTAAATTTAGGCAGCATTTAATTAGAGCGCATGAGAAGCCAAGAAATTGCCGCACTGTAGGTATGTGTTTTGGATGTGTCTGAATTGTCCATGGAGATTTTCTTGCTGACAAGGGAATTGCAGAGGAAGTGAGAAAGAAGTCACTTGGGAATAGCATGAAGAATTCAAAAAAAGAATTACTAAGGGTTTTAGGGCCTTCTAAATGAAGGAGTTGTGCTGGGTAGTTGGAAGAGCCAAATTTATTTTAAAACTGTAATAACAAGTATTTTACTGATGACAAATGTGCTTAGATTACATACACATTTTTATGTGCGCATACCTACATTAGATTCTAGTATGAGTTCATGTAGAAGAGACTTTGATAATTGGAATTACCTGAATTTCTCCTCTCTTAGACTTTAAGTCACATGCCTATGAGCGTATGTCATGGTTTAACCCTTCCCTGTAGGCAGCTGAGCCCCACACAGCTGCTCACTCCTCCTCCCCAGTGGGATGGGGGAGAGAATCAGAAGGGTAAAAGTGAGAAACTCGTGGACTGGGATAAGGACAGTTTAATAGGTAAAGCAAAAGCTGCATGTGCAAGCAAAGCAAAATAAGGAATTCATTGACTCCTTCCCATTGGCAGGCAGGTGTTCAGCCGTCTCCAGGAAAGCAGGGCTTCATCAGACATCATGGTTACTTGGGAAGACAAACACCCTAAGTCCAAACACCATAAGTCCCTCCCTTCCTCCCTCTTCCCCCACCTTTTATTGCTGAGCACAATGTCATATGGTCTGGGACATCCCTTTAGTCTGTTGGGGTGAGCTGTCCGAGCTGTGTCCCTTCCCAGCTTCTTGTGCAACCCCAGCCTGCTCACTGGTGGGGTGGGGTGAGGAGCAGAAAAGGCCTTGACTCTGTGTAAGCACTGCTCAGCAATAACTAAAGATCTCTGTGTTACTAACACTGTTCCCAGCACACATCCAAAACATAGCCCCATACTAGCTACTCCAAAGATAATTGACTGTTACCCAGCCAAAACCAGTACAGCGTGTCAAATTAGAATAATATTCAGCTTGTGTAAATGTGACACCGTGTGGGATTTTTTTTCTATAGAGTTTTTTAGTTTGCTGTTATCTTGTTAATATTTCCATATGCATTGTTGAGAGTTATAACTCTTCATAAAGAATTTTTTTGTGAGTGTAGTGGAAACAAAGAGCAATATTAAAGCTTGGAATTTTCCAGTATTCAAGACAGATTGGAGGAAAACCAGAGTTAATTCTTAAAACGTCTGTTAATACAAGAATAAAAATCCCAATAGACCTGTTCCTTGGCCAGGCTTCTTTTTTTTTTTTTTTTTCCCTTCCTTTTTTTTTATTAGCATGTATCAATATTTTTGTTCTAAGAACCACGGGAAGGGGCCCCAGCATGGCTAAAACAGTGAATAAACCATTCACAGTTGAGACATAAGGAACAATCTAGCCATTTGACAAATACATTAAGAGCATTTTAAAGAAAATAGTCATAACTTGGAAAAAGTGTCAAGTGCATCGGTTTTGTTGTAAAACAGCAAAGGTACTTAGGCCATTCACAGAACAGGCTGCCCTGCAGTCTTCTGGTTTCTACATGATTCCATACCTGTTCCCATCCTAATGCACTGACATGAAGAGAAACGTTCTTCAAAGGTCTTCTCTAACCTCTGCCTCTGATGAGTTGTTGAGACTCGCCCCTGCTGAAGATGCTTGCAGAACATCTTTTGCTTAAGTGATTAGATGATAAGATCTGACTGATTCAGTCTAGTTTCTACCTTAGTTGGGACCGCGCATGGGTAACTGTGGGTCCAAAGCAGACTTTCTGAAGTTCTGAGCCCAAACCGGCAAAGACCATGATAGAATCCTGGTATGACCTTAGCCGTAGTGATTACTGCCAGGCTGCTACTCTACAGTACATTATTAAGGGTTGCTTTTCAGCAGTCAAATGAAAAAAATCTCTTTGAATTCTGCTTTTGAAAAATTAATGCAGGCAATTCTTAATCACAGTAGGACTCTCTGGGCTTGTGTCCTGCTGAGATGATGCTGCCTGCTGAGTCACCGAAGGAGACGGTTGTCCTTTGTACTTCTTCACAATTCACTGGGGATGTAGTATTCTTCCTCCCCCTGCAGTGTCCTGTTGCTCTGGATTTATATTCCTTCTGTTGTGGCTGTCGTAATTAGTTTTTCATTCTTCTACTTAAAGTGAATAATCCAGTAGATCACTTGCACCTCAAACTTTAAACTCTCGTCTTAAAATGACAAGTATACATTTTTAATGGGCTGTTCTTGGAAGTTAGCAGGTCAAATTGTGTGTTGTTAGCTGATGTGGGCTAAGTGGATTTCATCTGCTGCATCCAGTTACTTTTAGTGGGTTTAGTGGAATTTGGCCCACGTAACTGTTCCTTGCAGGAGGAACGATGTGAAGCCTAGCATGAAAGAAGAACAAATAAGAAAAGCTATGAAAATGTGCTAAAGGAGGTGTCAGTATTGCTTTCCTGTTCTTTGACGAAATACCTATTTCCTGTGAGCCAGAATTCACACAACAGTATCACAAAGTTATTTTTGATCATTTAAATGTGTAAGTTTTGTTGCTGTATTTTCTTCCTGCACTTTGTATTTGGGTGAAGGATACAAGACAGCATGAATGTTGAAACAGTTTTAACCGTAAAAATGATAGTGTAAAATCAGCAGTATAATGTCTATAAAGAGAGGGCTTACCACTTTTTTTTAAGACCAAACCTAACATCTCATTCTTGCAGTTACACATAGCCTAGAAGGAATGTTTTTGTTATTATGTCTTACATACAGTGACACCAAGAGTTGTCCTGTAATCATCGGCTCCTCACTGAGAGAAGATTAATGTAGAGACAGTTGCAGTGTTCATAGCCTACAAACTCAGTATTACACATGCACATAGGCCCCTTGACTTGAAATAATCATGAATTAGTATGTGGTGAATGTGTTTTTGAGTGCTAATGCTTAGAAATCTAAATTCCTCAAGGTTGTCAAAAACTGGTGAAATACCAGTGCTGAAAGGAGGCAGCATAGAGCTATATTGACAGGTTTTTAGTCTTTAATTTCTTGCTTAGACTGAAATAAAGTTAGAAGGGGGATAACAACAATGCAGTGTTGAGAGAAAAATAAGAAATTTTAAAATAATTCTGTATTCCTCTCCTTAGGCATCTCAAAACACCTTAAATTCCATGTGGTATACGGAGGTTGGTTTCATCTAAGTTCCTGTTTCAATGTTTGGAGCACGGTGTCTGAGCGCTGATGGAAAAACTAGAATCCAGCAGTAAACTTATTCATAGTTGCTGCATAACTTTTTGTGCTCATTGAATGAGTAATTGACAGTTTTGCTTTGGCTTCATGGCTCAAACATGCTTACTAAATGCACACTTTTGTTATTTTTGCATTCCTTTTGTTGCATTTACTGCGGCATGCAATGTTTGTGCTGTGGATGGCCCTGTATTATGAGTAACTTGCCTTTCTCCTTTAGCTGCCATTCGCTAATGCAAATATGTTATAGTATTATAGCCTATTAGTGAACTTTAAACAGACATGCAACTTAGAAACCTTGATGTGCAGGTGAGAGAACTTCGAGAAAGAGCAAAGGCTTACAGGCAACGAGTAGAGGGAACACACTTCTCCCGATATCATCTCAATCAGATCCTGTCTGATAATAACAGTCTTTGGGATGTGTCCTCAAATTCCAGTTCAGAAGAAGGCATCAGCAACAACATCAGAGCGCTAGATCTTGCCGGGTAAGGTCATCATTCCTGCCTGTTATTCCTGTAGCTTTGAAACAGAGCAAGATGCTAAATACAGGCTTAGCGTAACTGTAAGATCATGGATGTTTGACTGTATTCAAGATGCAATTGGACAGGGTGCTAGATAATCTCATCTAGGCTCCCTTTCCCCAAGAAAGGTTGGGCCAGATGGTCTTTTGAAGACCCTTCCAACCTAGGCTGTTGTACAATTCTGTGATACTTAAATTCTTTAGAACAGATGAGGTCGTTTACCTTTTCACAGATAGATCAGTTGATCTGTCCTTAAACTGAAAACGAGGCACAGTCCAGTCTTCTGAAAGAAGAGAAAGTTACTCCTTTATAATTCTCCACAAATGCTTATTTGGTGTGTCAACCTTGGTCTCATCAAGTCTGGAGGAATTTCACACTGAGTTGTACTGAAGTAATACTCTTCTTTCCCCTGGAATGATATGAAACATGTTTTGCATACTCAGGTGTTATCAATGTTCTTCTCAAGATTAATTGAGTCTTAGACACTGTTTAGTTCTGAGATGAAGACTTACGAACTGGAATGGTGTACGTCTATTTTCTCCTTTCTTTGAAGGTGATCAGAATTGGCAGATACTAAATCCCTCACTAGGAAAATTCCGAATTAGTGTTTTAGTAAAAGATACAGACAGCTATTGCTGAAGTAAGGAGGGGAAAAAAAAGCCATTCGTGTCTTCTCTGAGATCTGGTATTTAAAAACAGTGCCTTGGATGCCTCTGTCTGTAGTCCACTTAGGCTGCTCTATGCACACTACTTGTGTGCTTGGGAGAGATCTATCCATTTGCATGGCTATAGCTCTAATATGGGTTGGGGGATGACACTATAATGTGTGGTATTAAGTATGGCGTAAATTTTTTGGTTTACTGGTTTGTGGTTTACCTGTGAAATACGTATCCTTTTACTGATCTCATTTATGTGCACTGGGCCAATTTGCACTGATTTGATTCCTGTGAGCAGTTGATAGTTTGAGACTTTTGAAAGTTGTGCCTGAAGAGAAGTCTTCTAAACTGCTTGGCTTACAAAATTGTGTCATCAGGCCAGTCCCTATGCATAGAACTAGTTATTTTTTTAGCACTTCCGATAATCTAACTTGTTGTTTAAGTTGGAAATAGAGCCCTAATTTTACCTTACATTCTTGGAAATGGTAATCCAGGAAGAGTTTTCATAGAATCTAGTTTGAAAATGGGTGGTGCTTAAACAATGAAATCTTCAGTGGAAATTTGACCATTCATCATGTCAGCTGTACCACTTTTTAATCTCTCAGCTGTACTTCTGGCAAATGACTGAAGTGGATGAATGTGTTCTACATAGACACGTGTATATCGTGCAGGTCAATGGTGTGAAACACTGCTTTCTTTGTTCCCTAGAGTTTCTGAAAAAGAGACTGCACCAAGCCCCAAAATGCTGCAGCAACCTGACTCCAGAGAACAGCCACAGCAGGACACCACTGAGAAGAAAGACATGTCAGATGCTTTAACTGTTCCAGTCAAAAGGCGTTTAGTTTGGGGTGAACAAGAAGGTGCTGAGGAAAGGGAGAATCAGCAAGCAACAGAAGAGGAAATAAACCAAGATGAACAGGCTGCAGTCGTGGCTCAGCAGTTAGAAGAAAACAGTAAGGATGCCAATGAAGATAAGAAAATTGAAGGGTAAAACTGAAGATTTTTGTGGTGTATATATATAAAATTTTTTTTCCTCAAACACTTCAGAAATTTGTAGGTTAACTAATTTTTGTTTTTAAATCAGTTTTACTTAAGAGGATGTAAGTTGGTATGACACTACTTCTGTTTTTAACAGAATGATAAGGAATGGGAAAGTTCAAGACATGGAGCTGGTTGGTGGGAATGGATCTGTCGTTAAGAATACTGGATTTCTAAATTGCCAGACAGAAGTTTGTAGAAGCATGAACAATTCTAATGTTTTTTTGGTTTTTTTTTCTCCAAAACTTTAAATTTTTCAGTATGGGCCTCTCAGAACAGACTGTTCATTACACAGAAGCCAAGTGTAGTAAAAATTAAGGCTCACAATTTGTTTCAGATTGACAGTGTAGGATTGATAGGACTGAAAGTATAGAATACATGCTAATCTTGTGCTTAAGCGTCTCTTTTTTCTTAAAAAAAGTTGTGGGCAAAGATAAAGGACTTGGGATTGAAAAATAACTAGCATCAAGTAATTACCGGTGATTATGCTTCTGAGCACAGGTGGGAAGAAGGTGGAGGGGTATTTAGAAATAATGAGAGATCAATTCAGTATGTGCATAGTATAGAGCATAGCACTGTATTTGACCATTGAAAGATCTGAATTGTATCTAGTTACAGAAGTCTCTGGCTTTTTACTATGCAAGTTTTACATACTTTTTTTGGTAGAACAATATTTTAGTTTTATAGATATTTAAATCTGAGTAACTTTGGCCCTTGTTGCCGTACCATCTAAGCATTTTGTATTCCTCTTTGGGTTTTATCTTTGCTATTGCAGCATGAATTGAAGGTAAGGAGTCGTAATTATCTCCTTTGGGGGTGATATCCTGTATGCAAAACCCAGGCAAAGAAAGATTGAGATGTTAGACTCAAATAGAAATTAAATGCAGGCCTTCAGAGCCATCATCCTGAAAACCTTCTTAAGTTTCTATCTAATTCTAGAGATTGTCTAGTTCATAGATGTGGCTCTGATTGACATCGAAGATTTTCTGTCATCCTGCAATGTGGTTGAGTGCGTGTGCTGAGATCTGCTCTGGACTTGGCCATGCAGAGCAGCTTAACACTTGCATGTTACCTAAGCCTACTTGAGAGCCAGAAATGAGGCATTCTTTGCCTATATGTCCTCAGAGCATGTCTAGCATGCACTGATAAGATCAGGCTCCTTGCACAGCGTGGGTATGCTGCCACCGCCTTTTGAAACGCATCTGGAGAAAGAAGACAGAAGTGGTAGTGCTGATTTATTTAATAACCTGGGGGCTAGAGCGGTTACATAAATGTGGGGTACTTGGTTTCAGTTCCATCACATTGACTGAAAAAAGTCAAACCCACATTCCCACCTCTACGGTGGCAAGCGGTTCAAAGTTTTTCTGGGTGAGTACTCTTTCCAGCCCTCCTGTCAAGTCTCTGCTACCGTGCAGGAATACGTTCAAAGTTTATTGGAACAGAGAGAGTCTGAATTTGCAGCTTGAGACTGTTTATGTATTTTTGTCCAGTTACATTAAAAAAAAAGATAATACAGAAGCTGTGGCTCAAGAGCTGGATTCCAGGACTCCCCACTGCAAGCAGATGTTTTAGCTACAGGCTGTTGGTGTTTTATGGCCCTAACTGTCTTGCCTTAGGCTTCATTGTAGGAATGTATCAGAAACAAAATGCTTGAGTGCACGACTCCTGAGTCCTTAGCTAATCCTATAATCATTTCTCATTTTTTTTGCAGTGAGAATGCCTTAGTATTGAATTCTTCTGCAGCTGCGTCAGCTTCTTCTTCCGTATCCTCGAGGACAGGCGGCAGGCTTCCTACTCCAAAGCTGAGAGCGCTTGGTGGAGCTCAGAGGACTCATCATGATCTCACTACCCCAGCTGTTGGTAAAAAGACTTTTAAATACAAAGCAGTATTTCAAGAACCAAAAAAACCTCAAGACATGTATGAATTAATTTATTAGGTTATTTAAGGTAATAAAGCATTTTTCATCTTCTCCACTACAATAGGAGGTGCAGTGCTAGTGTCTCCTCCTAAATTCAAGTCTTCATCTTCACAGCAGAGAACCCGAGGCTTAGGAACAGACCGTTCTTCAGCTAAGCAAGGTGCAACAGAAGCTTCAAAAAGAAGGTCCTTCCAGGTGAGACAAAAAACCACTTACCATTATGCAGTTTAGGAATGTGCTTTTTTATTTTTTTCCTTGACTTGAAAGAAATTCAAGGGGGAGAGGTTGGGTGCCTATGTACAAGATAGGTAAATGTGCCATAATAGTTTTGTTTACCCTTTCCTTTACTTTGTGCTTCTTTTAATTTGCAGCTTGCGTAGTTACTAAGAAAAATAGAAAAATTTAGGAGTTGTTTAACTGTCTTCCTCTCAAAATTGTCGGGTTTTTTTGTCAGGTTATGCTTAGTCTGTGTTCTGCAAAGACAGTTCACTGCATACATCCTCTGTAGTAAGTTCTGTAATAGAAGCAGACACAATTGAATGAGAAGTTGGTTATAGAACCACAGAATCACAGAATGGTTTGGGTTGGAAGGGACCATAAAGATCATCTAGTTCGAACCCCCTGCTGTGGGCAGGGACACCTTCTGCTAGAACCAGGTTGCTCAAAGCCCCATCCAACCTGGCCTTGAACACTGCCAGGGGCAGCCACAGCTTCTCCAGGCAACCTCTTCCAGTGCCTCACCACCCTCAGTTACGTTGGTTTAAAATGTAAGAACACATTTTTTTGCTGTGAAGAAAATAGGCTTTTGATTTGAACTGACTAGATTACTCACAGACCATGTTAAACAGTCTTTATTAGGAATAGATTTTCTTTAAGCTGTCTCACAAGCTTGAAATACTTATTCTTCCAGTACCCTCGTGAAAAATGTAACAGTGTAAAGCCAACATACGCTGCTTATGGGAGGATCTTTGCTGGAGGGCTGTATATGAGATGTTGTTTGTTTGTTTGTTTGTTTTCTTTCTATTCTGTTTTAGCCTGATGTGGAAGTGGAAGCTGTTCCACTCCTTACCTCTCCACCTGCTGGGCTGGGAACTTTGGATCCTCTGCCACTTAGGCAGGATCACCGTCCTCCTAACAGTGTTTCTGATGAACCAGTTCCTCTTGCTTCGTCCCATCAAGAGCGTTCCTCTACACCTCCTGTGCTGAAATCAGCCAAAAGCTGCTCTATGCCTTGCTGGAGTCCCTCTCGTCGTATTCAAGGGACTCTCAAGGATCCAGAATTCCAGCATAATGGTGGGTTTTGTGAATTAACTGTCTGTGTTAGAGTGCTGCAGGATGGAAATGGCTACTATGCAGTGTTCAGGCCAAGAAAGTGCTGAGCTTGCTGCCTTACAGACTCTACAAAGAATGTGTTGTTTGTAAACAAAAACTTTTCTACTATATGTTTAGTCTTGCTGAGGAAATGTGCACAACTCTCCACCTTAATTTCAGATTTCACTAATGTCATTGTAACCTAGCGATCCGTTGTCTAATTTTGCCTTATTGATTTCAATAAGTACTTACTCATTATGAGACTAATTTGGTTAAGAATGAACAGTTGTAATTTTTAATCTTTAGGCTACAACTGGGTGCTGTCCAGCTGCAATTGCCAACAGCAGTGTGTAACTGGGGATCTTTATAGTGTAGTATTATTTTCCAGGAGCTGTGGATTTCTGAGAGATAAGCTCCTTAAATATTTCTGCAGGATATGGAAACAAAAAAGCCATCTATAAAAGATGTATTGTACATTGAGAAAAAAAAACATTTCTTGGCTGAGGAGGAATTTGGGCTGGAGCATTTCAGAGATTTTTAACAATATTTAGGGGTGCTGGAGCATAAATTTGATAAAGAAAAGAATCCTTCACCCCATAGTCAAAATAAACTTTATGTGCTTAAGTCTCCATTCCAGAGAGACTTTCTATAGCTGCTTAAGGTCCCACAATTCTTGGTCCTTTCATTGTACAGATTAGCTAAACTAAAGTAGTATTTCCATTCTAGAATGGAACAACTAGTTGTCAGGTTAAGTGGGATGGTGAAATCCAGAGCTTGGAAAGAGGTTAGAATCAATGCTCTGTTCTAGCTCTGCACCTCAATTGCAGTTCAGTAACTTCTATCATCCACCGAAGACAGGTGCCTTGAGAAGAATACAGTGAGTAAGTTTATATTACCTCAGCTTAGAGTAAAGGAGTCTGGAATTTTTGGTATGTTTGCTATTTATAAGAGTCATGTTTTGGAAATAATGTTGCAGCATTTTTAAATGTTCTAAAATGAAATATTACCCTCTGTCTATTTTGAAACGATTGAAAAATGTGCCTTTGACTTTTTGTCCTAGGGATTGTTGGCAATCCAAAAATGAGATCTTTCCAGTTACCCCTTCAGGAAAGAAACTATAATGATGAAGGTATTTCTTATCCCAAAGTGTTGTTGTATATCGTGTGTATATTGCCTAGATTAATTTTAACCTTTGCACTAATGTGAGAGATCTCTGAATGCAGTAATACTGGTTTATGTGCTTTGCATGAATAACTGCTGCGTTGTTTCATCAAAATAATTGGAAAATACTCATCCCAGTAATCTGAAGTATGAATATGAAGGTATATTCTAGTATGAATAAACCATTAAATGTGACTGAAAAATTATATAGACCGTTGCGGTTCGATATGATTAGTATAGCTTGCTCAGTTCCATACCTGAAATGGTTTCCTCCAAACACATTTTTTAAGCCTTTGTGTTGATAGCAACAGAAGCAAACTGCAAAATGATCACAGCGCAGGTTGCAGCTCCCGTAACTTTGGATGCAAATTAAAAAGTACCAAAAATCTTAAAGATTTAGCTTGTGAGACTTCGGCACCAGGTATGCAGCATACAGGGATTCTACAAACTTAATTTCACACCTGTTCCTCTGCTCAGTGTTTTAGGGGTGCTGATGCCATCCTGTTACTCTGATTGCTATTTTGTGTTTTTTTTTTTTTTTTCTGTTTACTGTAAAGTTATCTGGGGGAGCAGCCAGCACAGCCCAGCAGTGCCTCTTCTTGGCCCTTTTGTGGACAGATACAAATACAGTCTTTCAGCAGTGTGGGTCAACCAAAGGCACTATAGCCTCCTTAGCTTGAGCTGCTATACATCCTTTCTTGGCATGGTGTATGAGGTTGAGCTTGGTGTGGTGCTGTGCTGATCACGATCACCTGTGTTTTCTTCAGATTAGAATATCGGCAGAGCAACCTTATATCTGATTGCAGTTTATTTATAAATACACCACAGAGAAACCAAAAGCTTTTTTCTGTACCCCTTACGTTTGTTTGCTCCTTGGTTTTAACCAAGGTTCAGGCCGGTTCTCTATTTTACTCATTGCAGTTGGCTGGAAAATGTGTGGGTTGTGCAGATGGCTCAGCCAAGCATCTATGTATCTACATAAAACATGCAAAATCCTATAGTACTCTGCAGCTTCCCACAAGCTTGCTGCACACAGATTAAATGCTGTAACTGCTGTTTCTCTTGCTTTTTTTCCTATGAGCTGAGTGTATGAGCTTTCAGAAACAGGTGCAACGTGCCAGCTCACAGACATTTCATGTGCCTCTATTAGCTCACGTACATACAAACCTGGGAGTTATTCCAACGACGTGTCTGTTTGCAGAAGTGCAGTTAGAAGTTTTCTCATATATGGGAATATAGTTGTTATGCGGAATGTGTGAGCCTGTTACGGGCTGTTTTGGATTACTGTATTCCAAGAATTTAGAAATGCTGCAGAACAGTTGACTGAAACACTGACAAGGTACAGGTCCTATTAGGACTGAGTTGTGGAGTTTGTTGTTGGTTTGGGTTTTTTGGTTTTTTTTTAGTAGGCGGGTCTGGAAAGTAGTGGTGCAGTTCTTTTTAATCCACTGCAGGAAAATAGGTGTAATTAAGGTAATTTTTCATAGAGAGTGTCTTGACAGAGCTGTAGTGGCAGTTTAATAATGATGTTAAAGAGATATAATGTTTTGCTTTATCAGAGAAGCAGCATCCAGGTTGCTTAATTGTAAGAGTTCTGCTGCATGTGGAGTGGACCCTGTATTCAAAAGGAAGACCTTTCAAAAGCACATTTTTAAAGCATGCTTCTTGTTGTCTTTGTGTTAAACTTCCTGTTTTCTTCAGAAAACACATTTCTTTTAACAGCTCGTGGCACACTAGCTGGGTTTGGCACAGAAGGGCTCTTGGCAATGTAGCTTCTGATATTTTAGTTGTGTGTTACTCTTAAGGTTGTCACTTTGCTTGAAGTGGTGGGTTGCTTTCATGAATGCTATTATCAGAGTCTATATATCAACTTCAGTAGCAGAGGAACAATTTCTGAGGTCTTCTGACCCAGGAGAGTAAATGCAAAGATGACTTGGAACATTGGACAATTCCCAGATGACAGTAAGGATCTCATTCTGGAGTTTGTGAAGAGTTGGGCATGTAGCTCTCTTATACTTATCTAGGATCCTAGTAGCTTTCTGGTGAGATTCTTCATGTCAGTTACCAAGTAATAGGATTAAAGCATAATAGTGATACTATTTTAGTATCCGTTGTGAAAGAAGGCTTAAAAATATTTGCACTTTCAAAGTCTGCCATGAGTGTCAACTGTGTTTGAATATGTATATTTAATCTTCCTATTCACTTTTTCCCTTGTTGCTTTCCCCACAGATGACAGATTGTCTCAGATTTCTGCTCGCTCGGCAGCATCTAGCTCGCTTGCATCTCAGGTACTGGAAAGAGCTCAGAAGAGGAAGGATTTCTGGGGCAAGACATAATCTCTCCCACCTGTTTTATAGAAACTGTTCCATAAAATGATTTCTTTTTTACAGTTTGTAGTGTACATTTTAAAAAAATGTGACTGTGGATATCATGCAGCATCCTTTCACTTATCACTAATAAGGCCAAATTTTTAAGACTTGCCATCCCAATTTAAAATTTCAACATTTAAACCACTGTTGAAAATATAGGCTCTTAATATCTGAGAATTATGTCTTAATTCACTATGTCAGTACAGCCATGTGGCTTGTTTTGTTTTGTTTTGTTTTTTTTCACGGTGGCACTTCTTGAAACTGAGATAATTCTTTTTTTTATGCAACCTGTGTGTTACTTTTCAAGGTATTCTGCTGCAGTCTTGCCATATGACCTGGGACAGTATTCAGGGGGGCAACATCATCATTCACTTAAACACCTCAGTTGCTTTTAACCAGCTATCTTAAAGGCAACTGTGGTGCATTGGGTTATGTTGCTATATGAATTGTCAGTACCACACAGTGCTGTAACAAAAAGTTGCTACTTAAACTTTTAACCTGTTAGCAAAAAATTCTTACTATTTCTTAATGACACTAACATGGAGCATACAGGAGTTTAAGAAAAGGATGTGAAGCATTAGGGTTTGTTCATTGTCCAGTTTTTTGGCCAGGATGACTGTTGGGAGTTCGATGTGTACAATACTGCAGTTTGACAGCTGTACTGATGGGAACATTCATCTTTCTGTGAGCAAGACCTATGTTTAGTGTTAATTTCAACTTCTCTAGAAAAAGCAACCTCAGCCACCTTAAACAGTGGCCTTTCCCAGCTGCACTTCAAACTCAGGTATTTAAGAGTAGTTAATCTTTTAAAGTAAACTCAGAATAATGTTTTTTCCTTGACTTTGATATTTTAATTACCTCTTCTACTTGTCTGTTTCTGGGAGACTGACATACTGTTACGATTGTCACAGTGAAAAATGTTTGTGATTTATGCTGACAGCTTGTTTTATCTTTCCAAGTGATGCAAACAAGTTAACATGAAGTAGAGGAAACAGGTGGCTAGCAGGCAGTTTGGTTCTTCTGACGTGACTTAAAGTTTTAATGCTACTTTGTTTAGAAATTTTATACAAGTTGAATTTTGTACACGCTTGCTTACATTTCAGTTTTGTACACAACTATGTATGCATATCACTGAAAATAAAAAAAGGTTGTTTGATTTGTTTCTATTCAAGTTATGCCAGATAAATTGGTAAAGCCTGTTATGTTGGCACTTCTCTGTTTAGTTCTCCATTTCACCTGTTCAGCTGAAATATCTGTGGGCTTTTAAAAGACAAGATGTTACCTCAGAACTGATCTCAGAAAGAATAAGTTGCTAAAGCTAAGTATGTTGATACTTGGAATTGTGACTGGCTACAGATACTTGGAATCATGGCCGAGAGCAGATGGGTGCTACATAGGCTGGAACGCTGCAATGCCGAAAGGGCCAGTCCCCAACAAATGAGGTGTTCATTTAAAAAGTGAGTGCTGTCCAGCACTGATCATGTTAGAAAACAGTGTCCACTTCTTCCAGAAATTGTGCATTGCACTAGCATCCTGCCAATGGAGTTGTTTGAAACAAATCAAAGTGTTTTATTTTATCTTGAGGTCTTCTGGGATTATTCTGTGGCATGCATGCAACATGTAAGTTATAAATGGTCAGAAAATGTCTGCTGAAAGGGAAACTATTGGTGTGCAAGAGCTTTTATGAAAATCATCGGTTTTCCTCTCAAATGATAGTTTCATAGTGGAAAACTGAACGGCTAAAAAATGGAAATATTTTTTTTGGGAAGGAATGTTGCTGCAGTGTATTGCAGGTGAGTTAATTTGGGTGGCTTCTGTCTACACTCTTCATATTCAACACGTTCTCATGGCCAAGAGCTCTCATCATCCATTACTTCTCCTCTGTGGTACCTGTAATTTGAGTTTTATGAACTATGTCCTCTTTAAATCTTCTATTTTTGTTTGTCTATATTTGCCTGGGATTCCTGGCTGTCCAACAGCTCTGTCAGAGTTTTTGTGCAGGCCTGATTTTGAGGCCTGTAAGTCATAGATAGTATAACAGCATATGTGCCAGTTGCTTACAGTATTGCACCACGAGTCTGGTGTATCTGTGTAGCTCTGAGTTTTAGAAGTGTGCTGTATGGTACGTGTGTCTTGATTTCTGCCAGGGAGACAATAGACTTGGTAAAGCAGGGACACATTTTTGCATGGGGGTACAAACGCAGTTTAGAGATGAGAATGGAAGCCCCTGATGTCCCACACATCATCATGACATTATTTCCTGTCTGAACAAATTTTAGCTTTTGCCTGAAGTGTTCTAATTGAATTTACTTCTGGACAGAAGTATTTAAGGGAAATTTAGACAAAATACATCTTTTGAGTACGCTGGTGCAAAGCTTCTGAAGGGTGCTCTTCTACAGTCTTCAAGGCAGATGTAAAATTCTTTATGCCTGCTTTCTGCTATTGTTGTTTATCTAGTTCAAGAGGGTTTTTTATTTAGTTTTTCTGAATGTTTCAGACCAACCTTCAAACATGTTTCCTGTTGTGTTTTCCAGCAAGCTGAACATGGAAAAAAGGTTCAAAAGTGCATCCTTTATTAATAATTATAAGTGCGTGCTGTACAGTGAATGTGTATTGTTTTCTGTCAAGGAAATGTTAGAAGCCTTGAAGTGGAGAGACTGAGTAGATAAACAAGGAGGAAGGCAGTTGCCAGTAGGAGATACATCTAAGGAATAAACAGCTTTGGGAGCTTGTCAACTTAAGGCCAAGATTTACAAAACCAGCACATTAACAATGGACCCAGTCACTAAGTGTTGAATTGAAATGCCTTCTGCTGCTGTTCCCAAGTTGGGTATACCTGCTGGGTGAACCTTGCTGCTTGGGGTTCACAGCTCTCAACGAAGTGCGCAAGTAAACAAGCTGACTCTTCCTCATT